AGAATGGGGCCTCCTCTTTACCACCTATCAGATTTGCCCCTCCCTCCTACCAAGGAGACCGCTGGTAACATTCACATTTTTACATGGAATTTTTCGAAATAAAAGGGGCGGTATAGGATTCGAACCCCCGATATCACTGCTAAGACCCTCCGACTCGCCCACTCGAGTCGCTTAGCCCTTCTTCAAATTGGTGATTAAGGTGCATCAGGCTTAGGTACTGGCTTAGCAAATTGCACTAATCTCTCAAATTTGATACTTTATTTGGGGTATATTCAGTTTATTTGTTTTGAATTGTGATATTTTTACTTATAAATCTAATTTAAAACAATGTAGCTCCTTTAATTTGTTTATTTATGAGCTTTTTATTTGATTTGCTTTTCTTTGTTATTGTACTAGTGTTTATTTTTCTTCTATCTTTCTTGATTTATTTTCATTAACTCATTTTGTTATTTTCAATATTACTATTATTATTTATTAATTTATTTCTTATTATTATTTTTTCATATTTTTTCTTCCTTTTTTCCTACTAAATTACTACTTAATTATATATTTATTTTTCAATATTTAAAAGAATCAATTAAATTCATGCAATAGGTGCATCATGCTTAGGTTCTACTTTAGCAAATTGCTCTAATCTCTCAAATTTGGTAATTTGTCTTAGGTATATTCAGTTTATTTGTTTTGGATTGTCATATTTTTACTTAAATTGAGTTTAAAACAAAAGAGCTCTTTAATTTCTTTGTTTATTTATTAGCTTTTTATTTGATTTGCTTTTCTTTTCTTTTTGATTGTACTTTTGTTTATTTTTTTTCTATTTTTTACATTTTTTATTATTATTTCATATTTTTTCTTCATTTTTTCTTTCTTAATTATTTATTTTTTCTTAATAATTTAAAAAGTTATAATAAAATTGATGCTATAGGTATATCAGGCTTAGGTTCTGGTTTAGCAAATTGCACTAATCTCTCGAATTTGACACTTTCTCTTTAGTAAATTCAGTTTATTTGTTTTGGATTGTGATATTTTTAATTATTAAAATTAATTTAAAACAATATAGCTCTTTGAAATTGATTATTAGCTTTTTATTTGAGTTGATTTTCTTTTTCTTTTTTATTTTACTTATGTTTATTTTTCTTCTATCTTTCTTAATTTAACTAATTTTTTTATTTTAAATATTTATTTTTAATTATTTATTAGTTCATTTCTTATAATTATTTCTTATTCTTTCTTCATTTTTTCCTTCTAAATGGCTATATATATTTATTCTTCAATATTTTAAAAGTTAGAATCAAATTGGTGATACATACATACATACATACATACTCGCACATGGTGACATGCACTCGGGATAGGGGCCCTATATATAATTACTTATACATTATTATTATACGTATACCAATTTATTTATATATAATTGTGGGTAATATATTAGAAGGGAAGGGTCACCTACACCCTAATGGCATTTCTACTAATCTTCCATGATTTGACTACGCATTATGCTCGCTTCCCATTTGTATTCCAGATCTTCTGTTCAGAATGGGGCCTCCTCTTTACCACCTATCAGATTTGGCCCTTCCCTCCTACCAAGGAGACCGCTGGTAACATTCACATTTTTACATGGAATTTTTCAAAATAAAGGGGGCGGTATAGGATTCGAACCCCCGATATCACTGCTAAGACCCTCCGACTCGCCCACTCGAGTCGCTTAGCCCTTCTTCAAATTGGTGATGAAGGTGCTTTAGGCTTAGGTACTGGTTTAGCTAATTGTACTAATGTCTCAAATTTGACACTTGATCTTCGGTAAATCAGTTTATTTGTTTTGGATTGCTATATTTTTACTTATCAAAAAGAATTTAA